GGAAATGCAACTGAGACAGGAAATGCAACTGAGAACGAGAGTTGGGTCTTGGAGGCGTGTTTTGATGTAGGTGCCTCTTGTGTGTGTGTTCGAACGTGGGAAGTGTTTGTATTTTCACTCTACCAAAACAGTACACAGACTAGCTAGCAAGCTAGCCAACTTTTTCACCAATTAGCTTCAACCGGCTGGTGTGCGACCATGGCAAAGTTGGTTTGACTTTGGATAGCCTATCTCCGGGGTTAGTTAGGGACCGTCAATAAATTACACAATATAAATGGGACAATATTTTCATGTAACACATTCATTTAAGTCCTTTCAAAATTTGTATATGACTTTCTACAATTTAAATTTGGTTTGAGGTTTTTAAGTCATAAAAATATGGAGCTATTGACATTTTCAAATATTGTTTCATGTACATTGTGTAATTTACTGATGGTCCCTCACTTGCCCCATAGAGATATCGAATATCAAACCAAATTGACCACAGGCAGCACGATCTGGTCGCTTGCAACTGCGTTCCGTATTGATGATTACTTGGGTGCTGCCCCCCCCCCCCCCCCCCCCCCCCCCCCCCCCCCCCCCCCAAAGAATCAGTGTTTTCCTAATTATCTCGCAAATCACAGTAAATCCTCCTCTCTCTTCTCTGTTTTAGATGAGACTGACACACTGTAACCCTCCTCTCTCTTCTCGTCACGAGCGCAATCCTAACGATCAAGTCCCGGTTCAGAACTGCGTCGCCATGGCAACTGTCATCAAGTGGCCAATAATTCCAGCAGATTCTGTCTGGTCCAATTTGCCCAGTCAAGAGAGCGCTTTCTCCAGTTGAGTTGGTACTGTTGCTGCTACTGTACATAACGCTAACGGATTGTAGTAGTGCACTATAAAGGGAATAGGGTGCAATGTGGGACACAGACAGTAATTGATGAGGGCCTTTTTGACTGACTGAGAAAGACACTTTCACTTGGCTGCTTGAGGAAAAGTACAATTTTCAACAGAAAGATAACTTGGTGATTTGCTGTTCATTATAACATCCCAACTGAACCCCACATCCAGTTGAGAGTGCATTTGACAGTCAGAGAGAGGGAGAGGGGGATCGAGGGAGCGAATCATTGTGTCTGACAGGGAGAGAGAGACTAGGTGACAACTCCTTGTCCTCTCCCTTGACCACATAACTTCATTTGCTTAGCATCTCCCTCCCTCCCTCGCTCTCTCCCTCCATCCGGGCAGCAGGTAGTCTAGTGGTTAAGAGCGTTGGGTCAGTAAACGAAAGGTTGCTGTTCGAGTTCCCGAGCCAACTAGGTAAAAAAATCTGTCGATGTGCCCTTGAGCAAAACAATTAACCCTAATTGTGCCTGTAAGTCTCTCTGGATAAGAGTGTCTGCTAAATGACGTAAAATGTAACTCCATCACTCCCTCCTGTACAGTTGTGCTGACTGCCCCAAAAAAATATCCTGGCCACGAGGGGACCATGTTCCTGCTCCAACAGTTTAATTTCCAAATGGCACCCTATTCCCACCCTATTGACCAGAGCGCTGTGGTCCCTGGTCAAATTTAGTGCACTATATAGGGAATAGGGTGCCATTTGGGATGCGACCATTGTCTCAAGACGGATCAGACCTCACTGAGAGGATATATTTTAGCACAGATCTAGGATAAAGTAGCCCCTCTGCCTATGCAATTGCATTCATTATGATCTAAAATGCAAAACTGATCGTAGATCAGCTATTGTACGCTGAGATGCATTATGAATGCCATAGCAGCACCCACCCGTAGTCTGCGCTCCAGCAGGTATATCTCACTGGTCATTCCCAAAGCCAACACCTCCTTTGGCCGCCATTCCTTCCAGTTCTCTGCTGCCAATGACTGGAACGAATTGCAAAAATCTCTGAAGCTGGAGACTCTTATCTCCCTCAATAACTTTAAGCATCAGTTGTCAGAGCACCTTACCGATCACTGCACCTGTACACAGCCCATCCGAAATTAGCCCACCCAACTACCTCATCCCTATATTGTTATTTATTTTGCTCTTTTGCACCCCAGTATCTCTATTTGCACATAATCTCTTGCACATCTAGCATTCCAGTGTTAATACTATTGTAATTATTCTGCACTATAGCCTATTTATTGCCTTACCTCCATAACTTGCTACATTTGCACACACTGTATATATATTTTCTGTTGTATTTCTAACTTTATGTTTTTTTTTACCCCATATGTAACTCTGTTGTTTTTATTGCACTACTTTGCTTTATCTTGGCCAGGTCGCAGTTGTAAATGAGAACCTGTTCTCAACTGGCTTACCTGGTTAAATAAAGGTGAAATAAAAAAAAAAATGAATAAGGTCCAGTTCATTACTGGGGATATTATTTAGTAAAAGTATGTGTGCTGATCTAGGATCAGGTCCCCCTGCCTATATAATCGTATTCATTATGACTGAAAAGGCTAAACTGATCCTAGATCAGCTGTTGTACTCCGATCAGCTGTTGTACTCCAGTTCATTACAAGGCCCAGTTCATTACAGAGGGTACTATCATTTTGCTACAGACTCTACTGGCCCCTAGTGGCCAAAAGAAGAAGTGAGAGAGAAAGAGAGAGGAAAGGAGGCAAGAAGAGAGCGAGGGAACATTCACACAGACACACACACACAGACACACACACACACAGACACACACACACACAGACACACCTCCAGTAACAGTACAACCCTGTGGGTTGGGACTCCTCCAGTAACAGTCTAAACCCTGTGGGTTGGGACTCCTCCAGTAACAGGCTAAACCCTGTGGGTTGGGACTCCTCCAGTAACAGTCTAAACCCTGTGGGTTGGGACTCCTCCAGTAACAGTCTAAACCCTGTGGGTTGGGACTCCTCCAGTAACAGTCTAAACCCTGTGGGTTGGGACTCCTCCAGTAACAGTCTAAACCCTGTGGGTTGGGACTCCTCCAGTAACAGTCTAAACCCTGTGAGTTGGGACTCCTCCAGTAACAGGCTAAACCCTGTGGTTTGGGACTCCTCCAGTAACAATCTAGACCGTGTGGGTTGGGACTCCTCCAGTAACAGTATAAACCCTGTGGGTTGGGACTCCTCCAGTAACAGTCTAAACCCTGTGGGTTGGGACTCCTCCAGTAACAGTCTAAACCCTGTGGGTTGGGACTCCTCCAGTAACAGTATAAACCCTGTGGGTTGGGACTCCTCCAGTAACAGTATAAACCCTGTGGGTTGGGACTCCTCCAGTAACAGTCTAAACCCTGTGGGTTGGGACTCCTCCAGTAACAGTCTAAACCCTGTGGGTTGGGACTCCTCCAGTAACAGTCTAAACCCTGTGGGTTGGGACTCCTCCAGTAACAGTATAACCCTGTGGGTTGGGACTCCTCCAGTAACAGTCTAAACCCTGTGGGTTGGGACTCCTCCAGTAACAGTCTAGACCGTGTGGGTTGGGACTCCTCCAGTAACAGTCTAAACCCTGTGGGTTGGGACTCCTCCAGTAACAGTCTAAACCCTGTGGGTTGGGACTCCTCCAGTAACAGTATAAACCCTGTGGTTTGGGACTCCTCCAGTAACAGTCTAAACCCTGTGGGTTGGGACTCCTCCAGTAACAGGCTAAACCCTGTGGGTTGGGGCTCTGGCCCCTATTGCCTAAGAGAGTGGGAGAATCTCAATTGCATTTCCTTGATTCCTCACGTCCTCTCTCCTCACTTCCTTCTTAAAACCCATTGGATGAGAAGGCGGTGAGGAGAGAGGACGCGAGGAATCAAGGCAATGCAATTGAGATTCTCCCACAATTTCTTAATCATGGTCCTGAAGTTAGCTGAAGTTTGTAATGGCTGATTAAAGAAAACTGAACCATGGATTACAGCTTCTCCTGGCCCATAGACTACTTTCAGAGAGAGGAACCATCGAACATCAAGTTGTAAAATAGTGAACTACTCCTTTAAGAAACGCTGTCTTTAGCAATAGTGGCCTTGTTGGCAGGAGCCCAAACCCACTGGGTGTATATCTTTAGATTGAGCGTCTGTGTGTGTATGTAGATTGAGCCTCGCCTATGCTACTGACAGTGCTAGGGTTTAATAAAGAAGAGGATTGCTTATTTAATAAGTGTGTGTGTGTGTGTGTGTGTGTGTGTGTGTGTATGCGTGCCTTCGATAAGCCTCTCCATAAAGACACAGGACATATAGTCAAGGTTAAAGGTTGAGTAAGTCAGCATTTTGTCCACAAAAGTACCCACATTTCTATTATATGTAAATATGTATTATTAGTTAATGCCATAATGTAGTTATTTTGTTAGATATGTCTCCCTATGAGCTGAAATCATATTGTTATTTGTTGGGGCTATGCAGATGTTGCCTCCCTCTGAGCCAGGTGCTGTTAGTAGGCAACCCCCTTGGACTTGCCCAGGCAAAAGCCAGTGTGACAGACTTGCTAGCAAATGTTTGTTATGAAACTAAATAAATATCTGCACTCAGACCCACAAAACGTGTTTGAAAGACTCAAGATAGTGTTGTTAGACAAAGCAAGGAAAGTGAACATCAAAACGTGATGTGATGTAGTTTTATTGGAATGTGCAGCTGTTGTTGGTAAGTAATGAATCTGCTATAGCTTCTGATCCTGTAGGAAACACTGGCCTAAAAACACATGAGAAAGGGAAAGTGTGTGTTGGTTGCAAGAGAGAATATTGTGTTTGCTTGTGCAACATAAAGTGTGTATTCTGCAGGCAAGTGAAATGTAAACGTTTATTTTGGTGTTTCCAGAAAGCAAGCTAGTGCTTCCAAAGGAGGAAGTTTGTCAACTATGAATGTCCTCTTTTGAAACAGACTTTTTGCATATTTAGCATATGGCCTCGCTGAGACCGCATTGTGGTTTCACCCCTTCTCTCTCTCTGTGTGTGTTAATGTGTGTTTGTGTGTGTGTGTGTCTGTATACGGTGAGGCATCTTCAAAACAGCTTGAGAACAAGGTTCTGTTTGCGCATGTGCAGCAGCGGCAGGACCTTATCATATCCTGTCTGTCAGAACGGTGGCAAGGACAGTTCAAGTTTGGAGCTTCCTTCTCTACTAACCGTGCTGTCTGGGGGAATCTAGGTATGTATCCGTTTCCTTTACAGTGTTTCTTGTTGTTGTTGTTGTTGTTGTTGTTGTCTATAGGATTGTGTATTCATTAATGATGTGTCAAAGTTGACGTATTTTGGGTTTCTGTTACAGAACTATGCCTTTGTTTAACTTCTCTATCCTGTTCTCCCCCTTCCTTCCTTTATCTTCTCTCTCTTCTCTCTCTCTCTCTCTCTCTCTCTCTCTCTATCTCTCTCTCTCTCTCTCTCTCTCTCTCTCTCTCTCTCTCTCTCTCTCTCTCTCTCTCTCTCTCTCTCTCTCTCTCACCTCCCTCTATCTCTCTCCCCCTGAACTCCCCCCCAGACTCCCTGCTATGGAGGCAGTAGGTAAGTATGACTTTACTGCCACTGCTGACGACGAGCTGAGCTTCAGGAAGGGAGACAACATAAAGGTAAAGAGGACAGCAATCCCCTTCTACACTAGTAGTGTACACTAGCAAGGGCACATACTGTAGTAAACATAAGTAGACAACACTTATGTCGGAATAAATACTCCATACAACACTGTCTTGCAAACCCATTGTTAGTTGATAGGCGCTAACATGTTGGTCGCAGGCCTTTGTTATCGCATACAGTAAGCTATGTTGTGAGACAGTGAGTAAATTGGAAAGCATGGATAAGTCATACAGTATTCACAGCATTTCCTGTTTGCACTCTGTGACTTATTACGTTTACATTTTAGTCATTTAGCAGACGCTCTCATCCAGAGCGACTTACAGTTAGTGAGTGCATAATTGTTTTTTTTTGTTCATACTGGTCCCCATGTGGGAAACAAACCCACAACAAACCCACAGCCATGCTCTACCAACTGAGCTACATGGGACTATATATATACACATTCTGTGTGTGTGTGTGTGTGTGTGTGTGTGTGTGTCCCACTCCTCTGTTCTCTGTAGATCTTGGGCCCCGATGATGACTGGTTGAAGGCTGAGCTACATGGAAAGGAGGGATTCATACCACGGAACTACATCAACATACACCTGCCCAGGTCCTACTTATTACCCAAGACAATCAAGCAGTAGTGTGTGTCTGTGTGTGTCGGCTATGTGATGTCTGTGTGTAAGCAGGTGTGAACAATATCCTATGTTATGAAAAGTACTAAATACTATTTTGTTTACTGCTCTCCCTCTCCCCCCTTCTCACCCACTCTCTCTCTCCCCCTCTCTCCTCCCTCCCCCTCTCCCCCATCTCTAGTTGGTACCAGGAGAGTGCTAGTCGAGGTGAGGCCCAGGAGTCTCTCATGGCCCAGCCTATAGGATCCTTTCTGATCAGGGGCAGCGAGAGCTCCCCAGGAGATTTCTCCATATCCGTTAGGTCAGTGTGTGTGTGTCTTTACATTAAAAAGTTAGATGAATGTACACGACAACATCATTGGCCACATATTCGCCTCATATTTGCACCATATCACTATACCTATCTACCTCTCCTCTCCTCTCCCAGACACGAGGCAGACGTGCAGCACTTCAAGGTGATGAGAGACAGCAGAGGGCAGTATTACCTCTGGGCTGAGAAGTTCAGCTCCCTCAACGAGTTGGTGGACTATTACAAGAACAACTCTGTCTCTAAACACAGCCGCGTCTATCTGCTGGACACAGTAACACAGGTACTGGTTATAAGTAGTTATAAAGGGTTTATAAGGGTTTATGAAGGGCTTATACCTAGTTAATAAAGGAGCTGGTGGAGTACTATATGAAGAACTCTGTCTCTAAACACAGCCGCATCAATCTGCTGGACACAGGAACACAGGTAGGAGTATAACTATGGAGGATCCCTATTCAGTAAATGATGGTATAGTCTAATTCAAGCTTGATTAGGATAAATAGCTAAAACTGTTAATTATCGGTTTATCGAATCTGGAAAAAAATGTTATAACAGTGCTCTCTCTCTCATTTCACTTTTCTTCCTAGGAGAGGGGATTCAGCCAGACCAGGCCATCAGTCCCATCCTCTCAGCCCCAGTTTCACCAGCCCCAGCCCCGCGCACCCCAGCCTCACCAACCCCTGCCCCGCGCACCCCAGCCTCACCAACCCCTGCCCCGCACACCCCAGCCTCACCAACCCCTGCCCCGCACACCCCAGCCTCACCAACCCCTGCCCCGCGCTCCCCAGCCTCACCAACCCCTGCCCCGCACACCTGACCCTATACCCCCACCACAGGTAGTATACGCTCAACAACTAAATCCCTCCTCTGTGTGTGTGTGTACATGTATGTGCCTCCATGCATGTGTTTGTATGTCTAGAATCTAGCTATGTGTCTAATCAACCCCTGTGTGTGTACCTGTGTTCCAGCGTGCGGCCGTGACCACGGGGGGCGGTGGTCTGATGCAGGTGAGAGCTCAGTATGACTTCAACGCCGAGGAGAAGGACGAGCTGAGCTTGAAGGCCGGTGACATCATCGAGGTGCTAGAGTGTTCCGACATGTCATGGTGGAAAGGAAGACTGAGGGGACGAACGGGACTGTTCCCTTCCAACTACACCAACCCTGTATGAGAGAAAATGGTTTCAATTAGCATTTAGAGCAAAATAATTATCTTCATTCACATTTTAGCAGACGCTCTTATCCAGAACGACTTACAGGAGCAATTAGGGTTAAGTGCCTTGCTCAAGGGCATATTGACAGATTTTTCACCTTAGTCAGCTCAGGGATTTGAACCAGTGACTTTTTGGTTAATGGCCCAACACTCTTAACCGCTACGCTACCTGCCTCCCTAACAATAGTCATATTTTTGGTTTTCAAGTTCAATTGACCATACATGAAAGAGAGAGAGCGAGAGAGAGAGAGAGAGAGAGAGAGAGAGAGAGAGAGAGAGAGAGAGAGAGAGAGAGAGAGAGAGAGAGAGAGAGAAAGATAATGATTAGCTTTAGCATTAAATATATATATATATAAATTGTAACTTTCTTTCTGGTTTATTATCAATGTACTTTACCATAGGCTTATGTCAGGATAACACAGCTATTTAAAACTTCATTTTGTGTCAGAACTCAATTATTACTGTATGATTATCAAATAACATGTATTTTCTGTAAGTCCCTGTATAAAGCCTTATGTTAATCAATGTTGCACCAATTCCCGGAAGAGCCACAAACATCTGGGTTGTTTGAAGTCCAACAATAATCACAGTCTGACAGTCACGTGCATGATAGCCACATACAGGTTGGGCGCTTCCACGGGGTGCTTTCCGTCATATAACAAGATATGTATCGTTCCGCCCCTATGGCAGGTAATGCCTCGTTCACAACAACTGGGAACTGGGAACTCGGAAATCTCTGACTTCCGACTTCAGTGCGTTCAAGACAACTGGAAACTCGGAAAAAAACGACCTTTTGAATGGTCATCAAACTCGGAATTCAAGTAGCTCGAGGATGCCCGAGTTCCGACTTGGAATTCCGAGTTGGATGACCATTGAAAACGATTTTTCACTGACGGAGCTCGTTTTTTTCCGAGTTCCCAGTTATCTTGTACGCACTGAAGTCGGAATTCGGAGATTTCCGAGTTCCAAGTTCCCCGTTTTTTGAACGCGGAATTTGAGGTTAGCCGTCAAAGTCAAACGTCACACAGGTAGCCTAGGTAGGTGACAGTGCATCTTCCGGGTCCTTTTCAAACCACACCGGAGCGGTTGTGGGACTTGTCCCATAGGCTTCAGTCCAGCGGTGACACAGCGGTGTCCAGCCATGGCCGAGTCCCAGCTAACATGCATGGAGGACGGCCACATCAAAGAGAAAGTCCCGGAGTCCAAACCGGAGTTTTACTACAGCGAAGAACAACGCGCGGCGGTTGAACAACTGCTCAAAAACGGTGACGGCGCGTTCAAAATGCGACTGGAACAGGACAAAGTGAAAGACTTTCTCTCGGCCCGTGATATTAAAACGATAAGGAGCACTTTCAAAGAATATGACACTGAAGATGAAGAGAAGTGCGAAGAATCAAAGGCGAAACCCGACAATTCCAAAGCGGACTCAGGGCCCCATTCGACGTACTGGCCACAGATGTCGGATACAGAGGTGCCACCGTTGGATCTCGGTTGGCCCAAGGGGGGTTTCTTCAAGGGGGTCACGCGCGTGGCGGTTCACACGCACCCGCCAAAAGAGAACGGCCCCCACATCAAGGAGGTCATTCGTAGGCTGATCCAAGAAGCTACCAAGGTGAGATGTGAGCTGTGGGGATATACTGTTAAATAATTATGTAATAACAGGACTAATGCTTGTGTTGTATTGGTTTATTATTGGGATAGTGATAGCCCTGCCCTATGTATCTAAAATGTGAGGTAGGTATCTACCTCATGATGCCATTTTTTTTTCATGGGAAAGTAGGCTATATAGTAATTTATCAGAGAACATTGAAATGCATTAGTCTGGGGGAGGAGAGAATGGATGGTTTGCACAAATGAAGGACTGATTATTAGAGCCATGTCTCAGCAGAGAGAGAAAGAAGAGGTGTGTGTGTCTAAACTCGTAGAGCAGTGATCATCAACTAGATTCAGCCGCGGGCCGATTTTTTTCTTGAGCGGATGGTTAGGGGGCCGGAACATAATTACAAATAATTTGTAGACTGCAAATTGACCGCAAGAAGGCCAAACAGATATGTTTGACTAAAACATAATCATTTCAAACCTTCTTTACGTTTGTATACGATCACGTGTCTCTCTATTATGCGTTGCTTGTTCTTGTGAACAGATTTCTTACATTTAAATCACTTGGAGCTGATTTCCTGGTGTTTTTACAGTCTTATGTCCAACAGTGATTTTTTTATTTATTTATTACTTTTTTCTCCAGAACTTGGGGGGCCATCAGGTGGGCCATGAATCCTGTCTGAGGACATTTTTCATTGTTGAACACCCTCAATGAACTAACAGCTGATTTCCCTATTACACAGGAAACCCTGTTGAACCAGCAACCTGTCTGTGTAATACTACTGTTGTAAGAGCTAACTCTTGTATAAATGGCACATTCGGTCAAGTAAATTAACGTTAGGCTAATTTCATGATTAGGCTATTCAGAGAACACACACACACACGTCTCTACTTTCCACCTTTTTTGGATGCGTACAACCTCACATTAAAACAACACACACCTGAGAGATAAAGGTGGTTCTATTCCATTTTGATGCATGAACAAATCACTCAGCATGTTGGCAGCACATAACAGGGGGAACTGGAGTCAGGGCTGCTTATTTGAGTTGCCTTAAGTAACGTTTGTTTTATAGTGTCACTAGAGACTGAGTCATTTTGGACCCACCCATCTAGACCCAGTCAGTCAGCCAGTCAGCCAGTGAGTCATCCAGTCAGAGCCATATATATAGTCACTCAGACCCAGCAACCCAGCCAGCCAGTCAGTCAGTCAGTCAGCATGCCAGTCAGTCAGTCAGCAAGCCAGTCAGCGAGCCAGTTAGTCAGTCAGTTAGTCAGTCCATGACACATTTTCTCCCTTTGTACAACTAGGTCTTAGAAGAAGGATCAGCTTCCCCTCCCCCAATCCTAACCTTGACCATTAGTGGGAGAAATGTAAAACTGACCCAAGATCCGGCTTCATCAATAAGTGCATCGACGACGTCGTCCTCACAGTGATCATACATACATATCCCAACCAGAAGCCATGGATTACAGGCAACATCTGCACCGAGCTAAAGGCTAGAGCTGCCGCTTTCAAGGAGCGGGACACTAATCCGGACGCTTATAAGAAATCCCGCTATGCCCTAAGACGAACAATCAAACAGGCAAAGCGTCAATACAGAACTAAGATTGAATCCTACTACACCGGTTCTGATGCTCGTCGGATGTGGCAGGGCTTGCAAGCTATTACGGACTACAAAGCAAAACCCAGCCGCAAGCTGCCCAGTGACGCAAGCCTACCAGATGAGCTAAATGCCTTTTATGCTCGCTTCGAGGCAAGCAACACTGAAGCATGCATGAGAGCAACAGCTGTTCCGGACAACTGTGTGATCACGCTCTCCGTAGCCGATGTTAGCAAGACCTTTAAACAGGTCAACATTCCCAAGGCCTTGGGGCCAGACGGATTGCCAGGACGTGTACTCAGAGCATGCGCGGACCAACTGGCAAGTGTCTTCACTGACATTTTCAAGCTCTCCCTGACCGAGTCTGTAATACCTACATGTTTCAAGCAGACCACCATAGTCCCTGTGCCCAAGAAAGTGAGTGTAACCTGCCTAAATGATTAACGCCCTGTAGCACTCACGTCGGTAGCCATGAAGTGCTTTGAAAGGCCCACTCCAATTTGCATACCGCCCCAACTGATCCACAGATGACGCAATCTCAATCACACTCAACACTGCCCTTTCCCACCTGGACAAAAGGAACACCTATGTGAGAATGCTGTTCATTGACTACAGCTCAGCATTCAACACCAGATTTGTTTTATTTAACCTTTATTTAACTAGGCAAGTCAGTTAAGAACAAATTCTTATTTACAATGACGACGCTGGGCCAATTGTGTGCCGCCCTATGGGACTCCCAATCACGGCCGGTTGTGATACAGCCTGGAATCGAACCAGGGGGTCTGTAGTGACGCCTCAAGCACTGAGATGCAGTGCCTTAGACCGCTGCGCCACTCGGGAGCCCATAGTGCCCTCTAAGCTCATCACTAAGCTAAGGATCCTGGGACTAAACACCTCCCTCTGCAACTGGATCCTGGACTTCCTGACGGGCCACCCCCAGGTGGTAAGGGTAGGCAACAACACATCTGCCACGCTGATCCTCAACACTGGGGCCCCTCAGAGGTGCGTGCTTAGTCCCCTCCTGTATTCCCTGTTCACCCACTACTGCACGGCCAAGCACGACTCCAAGGAGGGCCGAACAGGACCTCTATACTAGGTGGTGTCAGAGGAAGGCCCAAAGAATTGTTAAAGACTCCAGTCACCCAAGTCATAGACTGTTCTCTCTGATACCGCGCGGCAAGCGGTACCGGAGCGCCAAGTCTAGGTCCAAAAGGCTCCTTAATAGCTTCTACCCCCAAGCCATAACACTGCTGCTACACACTGTTTATTATCTATGAATAGTCACTTTACCCCTACATACATGTACAAATTACCTCGACTAACCTGTACCCCTGCACATTGACTCGGTACCGGTACCCCCTGTAAATAGCCTTGTTATTGTTATTTTATTGTGTTACTTTTTATTTTATTTTGTACTTTAGTTTATTTAGTAAATATTTTCTTAACTCTATTTCTTGAACTGCATTATTGGTCAAGGGCTTATAAGTAAGCATTTCACTATAAGGTCTACTACACCTGTTGTATTCAGCGCATGTGACAAATAACATTTGATTTGATTTGAGATCAGCACCTAGGGGCAACTTCGCCCTGTCAAGTGAGTGAAGGAGAAAATATGAAGTAATTTCTCAGCGGTGTGTGTGTGTGCCAAACAGGATTTAATGGAACGCTGCAGCCTGATGCTTTGAACCAGTTTGTTTTCTGTTATGAGAAATGGAGAGAATGTGGTTGCAAGTACACACACACACACTAAGTAATCAGGTGTGGTGTGTTTGTTTAGCATACTGTGGTTGTCTTCATCTACATTCGGTAGAATAGATTACTGCGTAATCGACATCACACCATTTACATGGATGGCATTAACAATGAGTGGATTTTGTTGCAGCTACTGTTAGATGGAAGACATTGTGGTGTTGTAGGTTTTATCTTGAATTATTTCATAACTTGTTGTTTCTCTTGGCCCATACTCATAAAGTGTATGTCTTAGAGTAGGAGTACTGATCTAGGATCAGGTCTCCCTGGTCCATGTAGTTGTATTCAATATGATCTAAAAGGCAACACTGATCAGCACTCCTACTCTGAGAGGGTTTGGGAACACAACATAGGCCCTTTTGTTACAAAAGAGAACACTTCACTCAGCATATTTCCTCTGGAGAATGCCATGTAACAGCATACAGCCTTTTCCTTGTCTGAATGAGAACATTAATGTGAATTAAGAAACATTTTCCTCCTCCACCCTTTCCCAGCACTGAGGTCATCTCAAGGATAAAGCTTTTGTAGGCATGCTAGCTAAGCCTTGTTCACATTGGCAGTTTGAAGTGACTCAAATCCTATTTTCTTGCATATCCGATTCAAATCTGTTATTTTTCCTGAAGTCTGAACAGCCAAAAACCACATGGAATCGGATATTTCAAGACATGTTTCAAACCACCTTTGTAGGCCCTTTCAAAAAGGACTTATTTTGAAAGTTGGATCATCTTATCCTTTGAGGCTTGACATTTTTTTAAATAGTGTTCAAACACTATGATTTTGAACATTCAAAGCAACAGGAAACATCCATGGCGGGCATTTTTGTCACCTTAGCTTGCTACATAACTTCTGATTAATAGGAAGCATGAGTGCCACCAATCAACCTACACCACTGCGCACACACCCGTCATTACTATGACAACTAGCATAGATAGCCATGTCAGCAAATGACTGCTGTCTGAACACACACAAATCTGATTTGGCCACTTGTAACTTGCTGTTTGGACAGTCAGTATTCCAAAAGTGATTTGAAAAACAAAAGTGATTTGAAAAACAAAAGTGATTTGAGCATTAAGGCCTGTGGTGTGAACAAGGCTTTAGTTTCATATTCTGTCACTGTAAGGGCCTATCTTTCTTATCTTACTCCCAATAGAGTTTACTGGTATTGCTATTTTATTTTGTTACTTTAACATTTATTTTTGTTTTATTTGTTACTTTAGTTTATTTAGTAAATATTTTCTTAACTCTATTTCTTGAACAGCATTGTTGGTTAAGGGCTTGTAAGTAAGCATTTCACGGTAAGGTCTACACCTGATGTATTCGGGCGCATGTGACAAATAAGATTGGATTTGATTATGCCCATTTCGTTTTGTGTACAAGGAATTCCTATATCTCATGTATTATAAAAACATACACTCCTTGTGATGCAGACTTGTCACGCCCTGGCTCTGGGGACTCTTAAATGTTGAGCCAGGGTGTGTAGTTTCTATGTTTAGTTTTCTATTTTTTAGTTTCTAGATCGTGTAGATCTATGTTGGCCAGGGTGGTTCCCAATCAGAGGCAGCTGTAGTTCGTTGTTTCTGATTGGGGACCATACTTAGGCAGCATGTTTGGCACCAGTCTGTGTGGGATCTTGTTCAGTATAGGTATGTTATTAGTCTACCTTGGACTTCACGTATCGATTGTTTGTTGTTTTGTTCGTGTTCAGTACGTTAATAAATATGTACGCTTATCACGCTGCGCCTTGGTCCGTCTTATCCGTAAACGATCGTGACAAGACTGAAAAGGCAGTGTTGTGTTGTGGACACATTCAAGTAAATGTATCGGTTTCATCTTACTCCCGAGAGTTCTAGGTCCATGGAAATTCCTACATTTTCAATAATTCCCTTTCCATATATCGCCAACTGAAAAGAAAGTGAAAGCTAAGCAGAACAGAACCAGTTCTGAGGAAAGATAATAACTGAGATTCCACTTCCTAGTTCATTCCTCAGGTGTTTTTATGTTGTGTTAAATCCCTCCCCACATACCTGTCTCTGTCTCTGCTTTGTCTCTGCCAGCCTGGTAGCGTTGGGGCAACTAGGAGACATGTTGGGTCAACTACAGGGATTTTTCTGCAATTGAAATCCTTAGGCGGACCACCTAAGCGGTTTTTCGGGCCGCCTATGTCCAAACAATATAAAAAATATAATAAAAAAAAAATACAGGACTAAAATATATATATAATATATATATAATTTTTGGGATGGAAAAACGCTTTCAGTGTACATTTAAACCACTAAAACCAGATATAAAGTTTGTATTAAAGATAATGGACATATAGATTTTTTCATAATGTAATCTTTGCGAACTAACAATCACCTAAATTAAAGCTCAGGGAGAATTGAAAGTTCCCAAAACAATGAATTTAGCAGTATTTATTTTGTTATTATGTTTGAGAAAAATAACACAACATTAGCCATGGCAAAATGCATAGAACTGCAGGAAATTAGATTTAAAAATGCAACATTTTCTCTCCGCTCCATTGTAAAATGTGTAGAATTGCAGGAATTGGTTTAAAAATGCAAAAATGTCTCTACACCACCAAGATGGCACTGTTTATAAGCATTTATAACAACCTGGGTTTAGTATATGTGTTTTCTGTAGGCCCAGCTTGTGCTTTCAGTCCGACAGTCAGTGATTGTTGTATATGGCCTTTTGTCAGGGAGGTTTTTCATAGTTTTATTGACTTTCAAGTTATATGATTTACTACTATTGTTCTTAATGACTTTTTATTTCCATTTATTGTTCTAGCTATATTTCATATACATTGTGTAAATTGTATGGCTTTTAAATTAAGTTGTTGACAGACCTTTAAATAAAGTTTGATTTGAATGTATTTGCTGTGTTTCTCCCTCCAGTTTGATTGTATTTGAATACCCCTGACTCTATGTGTGTTTAAATAAAGATTGATTGTATTAGATTTTCTGAATAAGCTTTGATTGTATTTGTATCTTTCAGGTGTTAGCTATAGTAATGGACCTGCTGACAGACATCCAGATACTGCAGGACCTGCTGGATGCAGCGTTGCGGCGCTCCGTGGCCATCTACATCCTATTGGATGCTAGCGGGGTTCCACACTTCCTGGACATGTGCTGCAGGCTGCAGGTCGGTGCTCAGCACCTACGGGTAAGAGACGGTCCCTCATACTGAAGCAGAGGAGCATTGAAGGCTTTAGGCTACTCACATATGTGTTGTACTATGGCCCTGTGTCATGTGTGATCATGTGACATGCCTGGGGGACCAGTACAGAAAATAAAAAAAAGTATGAAAATGTATGGACTCACTACTGTAAGTTTCTCTGGATACGTGCGTCTTCTAAATAACTAAAATGTCAAATGATCTTTGGCATGTTAAATTCAAAAGATTTCTATGTTAATATTCACAGATGGTAGTTTAGATATGCTAGGCTTAACACTGATGAGTTGATGGCTTTCTGTGTGTATGCATAATAACAAGTTATAACAAGTTACCATAACCCTAACCCTTTTATATAACTGTGTGTGTTGTATCGTTCAGAATATCAGGACTCGTACAATTCAGGGTCCAGGGTTGGGTCTGTCCTTCGGTAGACTCCCTGGTTCTCTGTGTAGTAAATACATGCTGGTTGATGGGGACAAAGTCATGTTCGGCTCCTACAGGTGAGAGAAAGCAGCTGTATGTGTCTCTCTCTCTCTCTCTCTCTTCTCTCTCTCTCTCTCTCTCTCTCTCTCTCTCTCTCTCTCTCTCTCTCTCCTCTCTCTCTCTCTCTCTCTCTCTCTCTCTCTCTCTCTCTCTCTCTCTGTCTTGTGTGTGTTACTGTGTGTTCACGTTCAAGACATAACATATCTGTGTTCTTTCTCTCCTAGCTTCTCTTGCTGTGTGTGTTTGTTTCACTGTGTCTTTGTTGAAGACCTAAAAATAATTATTGTGATCTTTTTCTCCTCTAGCTTCTCATGGAGTTCGTCTCGGATGGACCGCAACATGATCACGGTTATGACTGGCCAGGTGGTCGACTTCTTCGACCGCGACTTCTGCGAGCTATATGCCGTCTCTGAAAAACTGGACCTCTACAAGGAGTTCAGCCTCAGCCCACCTAACATGGCCGTCCCCGCGCGGCTCAAAGTGGAGCCCGTAAAACCCCAGTTACCAGCCGCCACATCCAGATTCCAGGTCAGTCTAGGCAACTCGCGTAGAGGTGATCTCCAGGTGCCTGCACATAAATACCACAACCCCAAATACTCTCTGGTGTACGGGAATAGTATTCCTGGACTGACGGGGTCCTTGCAGGATCTACCAGGCAGAGAAAAGACGGCTATAACGGAGGGACCTGAGGGACTAATGCAGGTGAGCAGCGAGTGGTTGGATAACCTCACTCCACTACCATCCGAAGGCGGGAAAGTAGGGACGACAAAAAACAACGGAATTCTGGAGAAGAAATCCCGCCCTTCTTTGAAGAAACTCTTCAAGGTGAAATTGACAGCCAATCAAAGCGCTGTCACCGGGGGTGATAGCCCGGCAACCAGTCCAATCCCCTCCCCCACATCGTTGGGAGCCAATAGTATGGAGGAGATGGATAACCTTGAAGTTATGGTGAAACAACCAAAGAAGAGTAAGAAGTCTAAAATGGGCCTGAAGAGTGTTTCCCTACAGACTGTCAGCACACAAGACAATGAGAGTAAGTTGTTTTTGTTGTCTAAATATTTGAGCTCAGTTTGATTCTCTCTCCCTCTCCCTCTCTCTTTCTCATTGTTATGTCAATACCTGTATCTCTTCGTTTATCTCTCGATCTCTCAAGTCATTTAACCGTTGCACTAATTTCCTCCCTCTCTCTTTCTTTCAGGCGTGAAGAGCCGTAGGCGATCAACGAAGAACAAATGTAGTCAATCCTGATTGAAACCAGAGTCAATCCGGAATCAAACCACCCCACTCAACTGGTTCTCTGTGGACTTCCATAATATCTTTGGGATCTTGTGCAATAATTACTATAATGTGTCAATTCTACTTGCTCAGTACAGAGATATTCTATGGACAAACAGAGCTTTCCTGTGCCTTAAAGCTGAGATCTGCAATAGGTGGAACAGCGCCACTGGCCCCAGGCACATTTGTTATTGTTTTTATTTTGAGGAAATGTTCATCCAGCATCGTGGTAAATATAAATCGGAGTATATACTCTGCTGTTCTATCGCACGTGCAATGGTGTGCAATGAAAACATTGTTGGTTGTTTGAAGTAACGTCTTTGTTGTTGTAATATTGCAAATGGACGTGGCAGTTTCACTGCTATGGATTCCAGCTCACTGAACACCAAGTTTGTGATACTTATTTTGCCATGTAAAGAATAATGTCATGTTGCGTTGTGAAGTCTTGTATGTAATTAATGTATATTTTAGGTGTATGTTCCATATTGTGACCAAAGTATGTCAATGATAAGTGGATTGTGGAATGGATTTGAATGGATATTTGAGTGTGTGTTTATTCAGTACATTAAAAAAAAATGTATTTCTGAGTTTGCGAGTCATGTAAACTTTGTGGCCTGATTCACCAGTGGTAGTCATGTGCGATGATGTTTAAGGTTTCTGTGGTCATGCTTTATCTTCGGTAAAGGCACTGTAGATAATGATGATTTTGGTCTGCCATCTAGTGGCTGTAGATCGGATTGAGCAGAAAATATTCAATAGTTGGAACACTTGCTCTGACGCTCTGACGTGTGTGTGGGAGGGTGGAGTAGTTTAGTACTGTGTTGCTGATGTGACCAAGCATTATCACTTCCTCACAAATATATTGTATGATATATAATATACCCCTCCCAATCTCTCTTATGCATTCGCTCCCATCCACTCTAATCTTCTATCTCTCTCCTCTCCTCTCTCTCTCTCTCTCCAGAGCGGCCCTCTTGTTTTCTCTCCAACCCTCCACCCATCTCCCCCCTTTCTCTCTGGGTGTGTTTGCAAACAGTTCTAAGCCTCTCTCTCTCTCTCTCTCTCTCTCTGCTCTCCTCTCTCTCTCTCTCTCTCTCTCTCTCTCTCTCTCTCTCTCTCTCTCTCACACACACACACATCCCTCCTTCCTCTGGGTGTTTGCTACAGCTCCAACCACAGAGAGGAACCACAGGCGTGAGGGGATCTGATGCAAGGGAGGGCCGATGTGTGTGTGGCGCAACACTAAAACAGGAAGTACAGAGGCACACAGGAAGGCGATGAGAGGTGTTGATGACTAAAGACCAGCTGTTCGCTTCAACACTGCCCCAAACATAACGCTTGTGATCTGGGGTCAGTTTGGCATTTCCCCCCACTAATGGTTAATTGTTAGGATTGGGGGAGGGGAAGCTGATCCTAGATCTGTACCAAGGTGAAACTAAACCCTGGATCATTAGAAACACAAAGGGACCACTGAGGTTTTAAACACCTGTAGGAATATTTTTGCATACCAGTCATTAGCCTTTGACTCATTAATGTAGACCTATAATAATCATAAGATAATAACTTGGCTATACCATTGCTACAGACTCAAAGTTTGTTTTAAGTTTTCTCAATACAAGACAAAACCATAATGGTATGAGACAATATGTTATGTCCATTAGAAAACGGATAAGGAGGTTGGGTTATACCACTGTTAGTTTTGTCAGATGAGGAGATGAGAGATGGTCCTATTTTCTAGTGTGTTGTTCCAAACACCACCGGCAGGGGTCACTTCTCTATAGAGATCAGTGTCGTACACGCACACACATGCAACAAACAGTAAGAGGAAGTGAGAGATAGAGGAACCTGTGTTTTTTTCTGTGTGTGTGTGTTCAACTGGAACTTGCAGGTGTCCCTTTCTGACTGAAAACAGGACTGGCTGCTCTCAGTAGGGTGGAATTGCCCCTGACCACTGATCGTTCTTATTTTTATTTATTTATTTAACATTTATTAAACCTTTATGATCTAAAGTCAGTTTAACATGAACTCTCTGATGGTTGAGAATAGGACTGGGAGAGAGGGAGCTGATTCTAGATCTGTGCTTACAGGCAACTACCACCCAAAGTAATCTGACATGTCCACAATGGCCTTTATATGGCATTTATTAAATAATCAATTTAACAATTAAAGAACGAGTAAAAATAAAACATGAATAGAAAAACATGGTTAGAGACAATAATTCAGCATATGTACTCCCAAAATATTGCATTATATGTCCTAGAGTAACAGCATTTCTGTATGTGTTTGGTGCTTGTATGGCGTGACGGTGACAGAAGAGTTCTGTGTGTTTGGTGCTTGTATGGCGTGACGGTGACAGAAGAGTTCTTTGTGTGTTTGTATGCTATCTCTATGATATAAATACTGTGTTGACTTCCTGGTGAGATGTGATGGTTTCTCTCTCTCACCAATGCATTATCATCTATAGACATAGTGGATAGAACAGATACGATAACCAGGAGACTCAGAGATCCTCTCTACAGTATTAGCATACAGAGACAAATATATTTCAGTCATTTAGCAGGCACGCTTATCCAGAGCAACTTACAGGAGCATTATGGGTTAAGTGCCTTGCTCAAGGGCACATCAACAGATTTGTCACCTAGGCGGCTCGGGGATTCGAACCAGCAGCCTCGTGGTTACTGGCCCCAATACTCTTAACCACTAGGCTACCTGCCGCCCTAGTGCAGTTGGGTGAAGCTAGCAATGTTTGAGGTGGGTATCTATTTACATGATGTACGTCCAGAAGATAGAACAGGTATGATAAACCATACTTATAACAGCAGACAGACTAGGAGTCACAACAGACCGGTGTGGTCTGGTAATAATACAGAGACAAGGGCCGCGTTTCAAATGGCACCCTATTCCCTATTTAGTGCACCACTTTTGACCAGGGTCCATAAGGCTCTGGTTGAAAGTAGTGCACTATATAGAGAATAGAGCACTATTTGGGACACAATCATAGAGTCATACAAGGACAGTAGGTGGAATTAGCCATGCTTGAGGTCGTATCTATCTGCCTTATGTACACATGAGAAACCGCTCTTTTGGCTTCGCTTCTGTCACCTTATCAACAAACGGTATTTATAGGTCACGTTGACAGTTATTGACAATGACATTATTTCATCTCACAGGATAAGAAGGAAGTCCTTTGACACGGTGTGGTTCAAAATGAGAAGTCACTCTTCCAGACAGTACACAGTTCCACCTTTTAATCCTGACAAAAGTTCCAAGTCAGTCTTCCCCCCAGCAGTCTTCTCAGGACTCTTCTTGCAACAACAAAAAATTCCCTCAATTCTCATATGACAAAAGTTCCTTTCTAAGTTAGAAAGTCCTCATTCTCACTGTTGAAAGTGTCCAGGTTCCCAATGCTTAGTCAGTTCAACTGAACCAAAGTCCATTGACTGTGCTATTTGTTGTAGGGGTTCCATCTCCATCTGTGATGCAGTACTGTGATTGATCCACAGGGGGTGCTGTCCTGTCTCAGTCTTGGGGAGCCTGGTTGATCACCTTCTTCTTACGGACCGACACCAGGTCATAGAACGGGTCCTTGGTGATGCTGGCTCTGTAACGTGTGATAACAGGATGGTGGGTTGTTAATGGTGTTGTGAGAGCGTGTGTAGCCTACACAACTCCACCCTAAGCAACATAGAGGAACTACAGTACGTCAACGCCTACGTCACTGCTCTATCCGCTTCAATCAAATACTAAATAGTAGCTAGCAAGATGGAGAGCAAACTACCTTAACTAAAACCACTGCAAAGGTTTTGCCTGCAAACTTTGGTTTTGAATCGCGACATTCTGGCATGTACTGCAATGGCGCCGGAGGAGATGGTTGCCGTTTTACGGGCTCCTAACCAATTGTGCTATTGTGTGTTTTTTCACGTTATTTGTAACTTATTTTGTACATAATGTTTCCTCCACTGTCTCTTATGAACGAAAGAGCTTCTGGATATCAGGACAGCGATTACTCACCTTGTACTGGATGAAGATTTTTTATTTAACGAGTCGGACACAAAGGATTTACTTCAGACAGGAAAACGCTCATCCAGAGGCGGCGCTCCTAGTGGCCGGGGACTTTAATGCAGGGAAACTTAAATCCGTTTGACATAATTTCTACCAGCTTGTTAAATGTGCAACCAGAGGAAATTAAACTCTAGACCACCTTTACTCCACACACAGAGACGTGTACAAAGATCTCCCTCACCCTCCATTTGGCAAATCTGACCATAATTCTATCCTCCTGATTCCTGCTTACAAGCAAAAACTAAAGCAGGAAGCACCAGTGACTCGGTCAATAAAGAAGTGGTCAGATGACGCAGATGCTAAGCTACAGGACTGTTTTGCTAGCACAGACTGGAATATGTTCCGGGATTCTTCCGATGGCATTGAGGAGTACACCACATCAGTCACTGGCTCCATCAATAAGTGCATCGATGACGTTGTCCCCACAGTGACCGTTACGTACATACCCCAACCAGAAGCCATGGATTACAGGCAACATCCGCACTGAGCTAAAGGGTAGAGCTGCCGCTTTCAAGGAACGGGACTCTAACCCGGACGCTTATAAGAAATCCCGCTATGCCCTCTGACGAACCATCAAACAGGCAAAGCGTCAATAGAGATTGAATCATACTACACCGGCTCCGACGCTCGTCAGATGTGGCAGGGCTTGCAAACTATTACAGACTACAAAGGGAAGCACAGCCGTGAGCTGCCCAGTGACACGAACCTACCAGACGAGCTAAATTACTTCTATGCTCGCTTTGAGGCAAGCAACACTGAAGCATGCATGAGAGCATCAGCTGTTCCGGACAACTGTGTGATCACGCTCTCCGTAGCCGATGTGAGTAAGACCTTTAAACAGGTCAACATTCACAAGGCCGCATGTCCAGATGGATTACCAGGACGTGTACTCAGAGCATGCGCTGACCAACTTGCAAGTGTCTTCACATTATCAACCTGTCCTTGACTGAGTCTGAAATACCAACATGTTTCAAGCAGACAACCATAGTCCCTGTGCCCAAGAACACTAAGGTAACCTGCCTAAATGACTACAGACCCCGTAGCACTCACGTCTGTAGCCATGAAGTGCTTTGAAAGGCTGGTCATGGCTCACATCAACACCCATTATCCCAGAAACCCTAGACCCACTCCAATTTGCATACCGCCCCAACAGATCCACAGATGATGCAATCTCTAGTGCAACTCCACAGTGCCCTTTCCCACCTCGACAAAAAAATAACACCTACGTGAGAATGCTATTCATTGACTACAGCTCAGCGTTCA